TGTCACTCTCTTGGTTTTATTTGTATTTCCCTTTTGATTTTTAAAGCATCAACCGATTTCTTTTGTATGTCCAATAAAACATATTTCCATGACATTCTTGTAGCCTGTCATTTGTAGATCTGCTTTGAGGGTCAACTCTGTCTTTGTCTTGCCAGATAAAACTTGTTCCTCTTCTGCCCTTTCTTCCAAACGTCTTTTGGCCACAGTCTGTCCATAGAAGCAAATATTGCTATTGACATTGTTGATATTAACTTCTAATTCCATTTTTCAAAAGTATCCTTCAGTATTTCCAATATTATAATATTTTGCATCATTCTGTAGCTGTTAATCAGGTTTGTATATTCTCCATTAATTAAAATCTTTAGTTCCCTCTAGTGCCCAATTTTTAATTTTTTTAATCTCTTTTATGTCATAAAAAATTCAAAACAGGTTGACTTTCTCATGGGAAGGATACCTTATAATTAATTCCAAAATCCATTTTCCAAAATTCCGAGACCCTGGGAGACTGCTGGTCAGTAGCTGAAGCACCAGGCGGAAGTTTTTTAGCACTGCAGTGAGACCAAGTGCCTGCCCAAGAGGCGGCTGGATGGGGTGGAAGCTGGACGGAGGAGAGCTGGGAAAAGAGAGCGAGTGGGCAGCAGTGATCCTGCAGCTGGCCTGCCTTTGGATCCCTGCGGGGGAGGGGGCAGACTCCTCCATCCAGAAGAAGCCGGGAGGAGCTGCTGCTTCTGGGACACAATCCTGCCCTAGCACGTTTTCTGCCCCCCCACCCTTCCTCCGAGGGCAGAGTAGTCCTTCAGAGCTGAGGGGATGTAGCGGGTGGCTGGAGTGGGCGTGGAGAGAATAATGGGGAGCCTGGCATTGCAGCTGAGCTGCCCAAGAGTCCCCTGGTGGGAAGTTGGGGCTTCCTGGGCCAGACACTCTGGGATGTGGGAAGAAGTTAGGCAGTCGGTTTCCACTCCTTTCTCTGAGATGAAGATCCCCCGTTGGTTCTTTCTTTCCCAGCCATCTGGAAGAGATCTCCTTGCCCGTTGTCCTGCAAAAGCTGGGGATGACTCAGGAGCAGGTGAGGGGCAGCGCCGGGAGGGGGAGTGGGCCTTGACTTGGCCTCCACCCATGTCTGGATTTGGAAGCTGAGCAGAACTGGGGCTCCTTGGCCTTTGCCCGAGAGGCCCCCAGGTGACCAGGGCTGCAGTTTAGGCTGGGGGACGAGGGGGCACGTCCACGCAGGCTCCCCAGCAGCCCTTCAGAAGGGCTTTGCTGGAAGAGGGCAGCAGCAGAGCCCTTCTGAAGGGCTGCTGGGGAGCCCGTGTGGGTGTGCCCCCCTTCCTGGCTCCCCTTGTCCCCCAGTTGCACCTGCGAGAGGCAAGGCGGTCTGCTTTCTGACGGGTTGAGGGCGTGGAGCCCAGGCAGAGCTGGTGGGCGGTGAGGGGAGTTGTAGTCTGGCTCTCCTGGAAATGCCGGATGGGGGTAGGTGGAAGAGACGTTTCTCTTACTGCCCGGCTGGCTTATTCCTTCCTGTCCTGCTGCACCTGGGACGCTTCCCCCCACCGCGAGCATGGCATCCTCCTTCCGTGCCTTCCCTTCTAGTTTTCCAGAAAAGGCAGGGGTGGGGGAGGAGGAGACGGGGGGCCCATTGTGCCTCGCTGGGGAGAACTGGCATTAGTTTGCATTCGGTTTTGTGAAGCGGTGCCCACTTTCTGTCCTCGGTCTCTCTCCGCTGGGTTTAGTTTGTGGATCTCTGCATCCTGCTGGGCTGCGATTACTGCGACAAAATCCGAGGGCTGGGTCCAAAGAAGGCGCTGAAGCTGCTGCGGCGCCACGGAAGCATCGAGCAGGTCTTGCGGAATACCAGCCGTGAGGTACCCGCCAGCACATCTCGCTCCCCCGCTGTCCCACCCTCGGCCCTCTGCGCATGGGCTCCTGATTCATGGGCGGCCTCTGTCCTGGCCCGCGGGCAATTCCTGTCGCCCTGGGGTAGAGCCGGCTGCCCCTGATGGAGGCGGCGGAAGCTTCGGCTGCTGAAGGTCTCCGCCGAGGCCCTGGTGAGGGCCTAGAAGCCGGGCGGCCCGTCGAGGAGGCCGGGCGGGCGTTGCCTTGCGCATTCTGCCTGCTCTCAAATTTGTGCGTATTTCAGTCTAAAGGGCATTGGATGCACTACGTACTTCAGATAAATGGAAGGGCTTTTTAGGAGGTCTGTGTCAACAGCCTGGTGTAGTGGTTAGAGGCATTGGGCTGGAGTCTAGGAGACCCTGAGTTCCAGTCCTGCCCTAGGCATGAAGCCAGCTGGGTGACTTCAGGCCAGTCTCTCTCTCTCAGCCCTGGGAAGAAAGCGGTGGACAGACATTCCTGAAAACGGGGCCAAGAAAAATCCAGGGGCTTGTTCGTGTAGTTGCCAGGAGTCACGGCTACCTTGAGGGCGCGTGACCTATAACCATATATGTGTAGACAAGACAGACTTGCTAGCCTGGCCTGAGCTGTTGGGTCTGATATCACATAACAAAGGGTGAAAGGGAGCGAGCTCCAGGGTTTGGCGAGGCTGGCGGACCTTGGGGCTGTCCTGCAGCCGAGGACAAGCGCACCCGCTGGCCACCTCTGTCTCCTGAGCCCACTGCCACGGATGCTCTTGAAAGGAAGGAGCAAAGATCTACGGTCCTTGCGACAATGGCTGGGTCCCACTTTACAAGAAAGAGGAGCCCTGAACGATGGCTCTCCAAGATTTTGGGGAAACTTGGATACCGAAGAGCGGGTAGAGGGGCTATGCAGATCCTTGTAGATGCATATAAAGAGTTTCCGGCAACCACCACCACCAGCAAAATTCACAAAGCCAGGCTTGCTGAGAGGAGGAAATCTAGATAAGAGATAATTGGGCAGGGCCCCTCAGTCAGTCAGCAATGCAAATGTTGCCGTTTGTCACCTCTGCTGCTCTACCTTGTCAGCCGCCCTCGGGCTGAATTCAGATGGCGCTTCCATTCTTTGGGTGACCGAGAGAGGATTGCAGAGGGCTTTGATGGGATTAGGGAAAAGGGGAGATCTAGATCAAGGGGAAAGGGAAGGGAAGGGAAGGGAAGGGAGGGGGTCGCGCCCACCTCCCGCAAATGCCTCTCGCACCCAGACGGGCCTTGCAGCTGCTGGCCGGAGTTTGCCACCAACCCTGGTGCTGCCACCCTGCAGGCCGCCACGAACCCACCCAGCCCAAGGGAGAGGGTCCCGTCCAGGCGGCGCTCGGCCTCTTCGGAGCTAGGCCGGAGGAGGCAGGGAATGCTTTCCGGACCCCTGGAGATCCCGACCCAGGAGCCCCAGGAACGGGCACCTCGGCAGCAGGTGTTCTCCTACGGACAGGCGCTGCCCACCCGCCCCCCTCGCAGAGCTCCGCCCCATAGGTTGCTTTAGGACTTACTCCCTGGTGGCTTTTGGGGTGCTTGTTTCTTTTACACCTTTCATCACACTTCGATTAGCTCCGTCGGGAGTTACGACGCATTAAGGTGGGCGGCCACGTAAGTCTCTCAAATAAACAAACGAGCGAGCTCGTGCGACATTCTCCTGCAGAGTCTGCATCCTTCCTATAGGCCCCACAAAGTAGCTTGTGACCCAAAATATAGAAAATAGGAAGGAAAAAACGTTCAGGGACAACAAATCCAAAAATAAAAGGAGTCCCTCGCCAAAGGTAACTCGGGCTTTGAGAGAATGGGCTGGGCCTGACCTGGCTCGCGTGAGGAAGGCCCCGCGGGGAGCCCGTCCCGCCGGGCGAGGCCGGATGGC